TATTTTCTGCCAATCTTCATGAAGTTTGGCCTCTAATACTTTTTTTGATGAACATTTGTGCATTCTCGCTCTTTTCCCTAAATGGGACCACAAAGTTTCATTGGGATTTAGGTCTGGGGATTGAGGGGGCCACTTCATCACTGTAATCCCTTTTTTCTCAAAGCAACCGATTGAAACTTTTGATGTATGGCATGGAGCATTGTCTTGTTGGAAAATTACATCACTTGGAATGTTATTATTAAATATTTTAGTCAAAGAGGTTCGGTAAACCTGGTCCAGCATGTTAGTATAAATTGTGGAGTTCATTCTGCCCTCACATGTGTACAACATTCCAGTGCCTGAAGAAGCCATGCAGCCCCAAACCATTACGCTTTCTCCTCCAAATTTTACAGTTGGAACCACACAATCAGGATGAAATGCCTCTCCTTCCCTACGGCGAACATAAACCGCTCCAGGGGTGCCAAAAATCTGATGAAAAAAAAAGAATTTGTTACAATTTTTGAATAATTGTTATGGATGTGTATTCACATAAAAATTTCAATTATTACATCCAAAGTTTAGGAAATAGAAGCTGTTAACTTACCTCAAAGTTACTTTCGTCAGACCAAACAATTTTGCCCCAATCATCAGGTGTCCAATTTTCATGGTTTTTTGCAAATTCCAGTCGTTTTTTCTTGTTGGCCTGAGACATGTATGGCTTCTTCCTGGCTTTGCATCCTTTTAATCCCACTTCTAATAACCTTCTTCTCACTGTTCGAGCTGATATGTTTTTGTTTGCATCCTCCCTAAGTTCAGCAGCAAGCTCTGAAGAACTTTTCCTCCTATCTGCAAGGGATGCTCTTTTCAAAGATCTGTCTTCCCTGGCGGTTGTAGACTTTTTACGGCCTTGTACCTTTTAATCGTTGTTTGAACCCCCCTTCCTTGAACATTCCATCTTCCTGGCAATTTCTACCTGAGAATATCCTTCACCAGATAAAGCAACAATTTGTGCCCTTTTAATCTCTGAAAGCTGCTTCTTTGGAGGCATTTTCAATTAAATATACACTGGTAGGAATCAAATATTACCCGAAAATTACGAAACAACCTTTAGTATGACAATAAATCATTTTGAATATTAGAATGAATTTGTACGAAACTCAGTTAAAGCTCTTGTAAGAGGCTTTAAAGCAAAAAAATACTACAATCTACTGTTAAATATTTTACATTTGCTCTCATTTGTTCACTGTACGATTCTTAACCTTGGAATACGTAGGTTTAAACTATTATCTCAAATTTTTATAGGTGTTCCATAATTTTGGCCATGGCTGTATATATATATATATATATATATATATATATATATATATATATATATATATTAGAGTCATTGGTATTTGTTGGATTTTAAATCAGTCCACTGAAACAAGAAAGTGTTATATATATATATATATATATATATATATATATATATATATATATATATATATAGTAAGTAACTACTACAAAATTGTACAATTTTGTAGTAGTTACTTACATGTTCTAATGTAACAGTGTATAATAAATATATATTGCTTTAATCATGTATTGAGCCCTGTTTTAAATTAATGTTTTGAACGTTGCAATTTTATTCTTCGTTCTTTTACTTTTGTATATATATATATATATATATATATATATATATATATATATATCTTTTCTCTTTACTAGCTCGTATACTATATTGCACTATTATTGCCTTTGTGATGATCAGTGATATTATGTATGGTCCTGGTGATAAGTTTATTGTTGAGAATTGTGAGGTTAGCAGACTCTCAATGCATTTTCTTCTAAGTGAATACTTTTCTCTCCGGATCAGATTGGCATTTATTAAGTCATAGTTGTGGCCAGATGTATTATGGTGAATTATGGTATATATATATATATATATATATATATATCTTTAAACATTATTTTTAGTAGATACTCGTATTTGAGTAGGTGTTCAGTTTATTCATTGAAGAGCATATTTATTTTCATCTGCTTGCCTGAATGTTTGAGAAATTTTATTAAAGAAAAATTTCTGCTCTCTAATAGTAATTGTACCTTTATCTCTCAGGGCAGAGGGAGCTACTGTTTAGCCCGATATGCCTTACCTACTTAGCCATGGAGAATAGTCAGGTCATGCCAAACTTCATGCTTTCAAGCAAAGTTTCTGTTGTCGTAAGTTTCTTCCAAAGTTTTTCATATCTGCGTAGTTTTGAGTCGAAATGTAAGCCAAGAGAATTTTTAGAACGTTTTTTTTTATTAATCCGACAGATTTTTATCACTTTAAACGTTATTTTTAGTATATACTCCTATTTGAGTAGGCGCTCCGTTTATTTACTAAACAGCATATTTTTTTTATTTTTGTCTGCTGTCTTGAATGTTTAAGAACTCTTATTAAAGATAAATTTGGGCTCTCTGGCAGGAATCAAACTCGTGTCACTCTAATAAAAAAATCTATTCTAAAAATTCTCTTTGTTTACGTTTGCATATGAAACTGTACAGATATGAAAAACTTCAAGTGTTCTATGACGGAGAAATTTTGCTAAAAACACAAAATTTGGCCTTCCTGAATGACTGTTCTCTGCAGCCAAGTCAGTAAAGCGTAACACACGTTCGATTTCTGCTGGAGAGTGAAAATTTTCCTTTAATAAGACTTCTTGAACATTTAGGCCAGTAGATGAAAATAAATAAATATACTATGAAGTAAAAGACAAGAGAATAAAAATTATATTACGATGTGTTGAATATTTCTGTCGTCAGTTTCAACATTCTAATCAGCCTACTTTTGAAAGCTATATGAATCATAACATGTAATATTTAATGGTATATAAGGTAGTTTCCCTATTTACATTTAATATTATTATAATAATATAGTATTATGAATTTAGACTAGGTAAAAATTACTGGTTCTCTATGGCATCTGGTTAAACATTAGCCTACAAGATCTTTTCAACTTCATATATAAGACCTTCTACAGTTACATTTAATATGACAGTATTATAGTGTTAGGCTAGGTACATTTACTGGTAGTCCATAATATCTGTGTAAACATAAGACTACCAGATACCTCACATTTACTTATAAGTTTCTCTGATTTATATTTAGTACCATAGTATTATAGTGTTAGAATTGGCACATTTATTAGTTGTCTATATCTATGTAAATATTTAGCTAGCAGATATCTCAAATTCACATATAAAAGTCCACAATTTGCATTTAATATTATCAAACAGTATCATAATGTGTATTTATTTATATATTTCCTGTCTCATTTGAGAAAGGGAGATAACTATAACAATAACAATATTTTCTTGATAATGTTAGATAATATAAAGAATTTTTGTCATCAATCATCAAACCATATAATAATAATAATAATAATAATTAATGTGTATTAATTTATATATTTCTTGCTCATTCTGAGGGCTTAATAAGACAGACTGATATACAAGTGGTAATAATAAGCATTTATTTACAAGTAAATATTACTTTCAAACAAATATATCACAGGGTTTTTATTAACGTTACTATAGATAATGTATCAGTCACTATTTATTTTATCTGAATATGTGAATTATAGTATTCTAGATTCAACACATTTTACTCCCTAACTATAAATAAATAACTATTTAATTGAATAACTATAAATCTATTATTAATATTGAAGGTGTAATTACAAATTCTCATATTATTTAAATGCATTTTAATTTTGCATTGGTATCCAATATTCAATATAAACTAGCTCTATAAATGGAGAATTAAATTTAAATAATTCTTAATGTTTTACATTGATTTTTGCATTTAAGAAAATTTTGTTTTATCATAAAATGGAAAATTCCCTTGAAGTAAGGTGGCAATTAGAACGAGATTGAAGACAAAGGCAGCGATTACGCCTATCTTAGGATCAGATACAGTCATGGCGGTAGGCTGATAGGCAGAGATATTCACAGGCCTTACAAGAATGCTGTGAAGCACTAAGAGCATAAACCAGGAGATGTAAGGCTCAGAGGTGAAATAATGAGATATTGGGGTCTAAGATATCTGGTTAAACATTCAGTTACCAGATATCTAAAATTCATGTATATGTTTGCCTGTTTTACATTAAATATTTCAAATCAACATATAAGTTTCTTCAATTTATATTCAATATTATGTTAGGCTCAGTACATGTATTGGTAGTTATAATGTTAGGGTTAGTACATGTATTGGTAGTCTATAATATCTGGGTAAACATTCAACTACCAGATACTTCAAATCAACATATGTTTTTCCAATTTACATTCAATATTATAGTCTTATAGAGGGTGGCATGGTGGAGTAATGGATAGCAGCTTGGTTTGAAGAATCAGAGAGCTGAGTTCAAATTCTAGTCGAATCCATTACATTCACTTACATGCTAATATCCTTTGGAAAGATATGTATCCTCTTCTTCTCCCTCAGTTATGGGTAAAATAGCAGGACAGGACAGGGCTACTGCAGAAAGAAACAGCAATCTACTGCAGGAAAAAATCTGCCTCATCAGTCATGTATTGAAAGATACATGATCGCCTAAGCATGTATCACACATGGCACATAACTGACTGAGTGTTAGGCTAGGTACATTTATTGATTGTCTATTGTGGCTGGGAAAACATTGATCTTAACTTTGCATATAATACCTGGGACATATTTATTGAAACAAAATGGAGGTAGGTGTTATATACTGGCAAATATAGGAATTATGATTGATTCCTTTTTTATGGTTTATCAACACATTTCAGTTTATTTAAAGCCAGAAATTATTTTTTAGTTTGTAAGGATTTTTTTGGAGATAATAATGATTTAGTGATACAAGTCCTACTAATTAACCTGTAGATGGAGGAAGAAGAGATGGATTCATACCTTTCCCAAGGGTATTTGGATGTAAGTGAATATAATGAACCTGGCTGAAACTGGAACTTGGCTCTCTGATTAATAAATCAGAGCCATTATCCATTACAGTGGCTGAACATTGATACTTACAGCACCTAGTACTCCCAAGTGGTCACCCATCTAAGTACTGATCAGGCGGGATATTGCTTAACTTCAGGGATCGTATGTATTTCAATGTGATGTGGATCTAAGCCATACCACCTGCACATTCAAGCTTACAGCACCTGGTATTCCCAAGTGGTTACCCATCTACAAGGTCAACGTTGCTTAACTTCAGTGATCATATGGGAATCAATGTTTCAACACCATATGTCCTTAAGCCTCAAATACAGAAAGTGCCAAAATGTGCTTGTCTAGAAAATCAGCATTTTACAAAGGCTTGATCAGCAATCCCTCGTATGGACTTGAAGTACAGAAATACATCTGCCATTCATAATTTATGATTTATGTTATTAAATTGTTAAATCCCTGACCTAGGGAATATAAACATTTTATTGTTCTATTGTCTAACACTTGAAATTTGACCATCTGCGTGTTGGTCTTCTTAAGAAAGTCTCTTTGCTATATCTTGTATATAAATTTTATTCTCTGTGGGTTTGTAATGTTAACCCTTAGCTTGGCACAGATAAGTTACCTACAGAAATGTAATGTAATCTTAGATATTAAAAACATTGAAATTTTCAATCTCTTGCATATATTAATACACTTGTCTCTTGTTTCCTATTTACCAAATTACATAAGTGACTACAGTGAACATAATGTTTACTACACAATCCCTCAAAACACATTAACTCACTTATCATGATTTAAAAAAGCTACCCATAGATCCAATAATGATTCATAATTATGAATATAGTTATCATAGTAGGTAATATTATGAGTCTCCCTTCATACTCTCAGATCAACAATTATTCTGTTTAATAAAAGCAATATTAAGTTTTTATTTTAATTAGTAATTTTTTTCATCATGTATTTTCAGTTTTCATTTTTGAAAAAATTAAAAATAAAGATGAAGGAAAATTATCAATTAAATAAAAAAAAGATCAATCATGGTTTCATCCTAAAAAAATTAATTCTGTTGTTAATTTATACTGATATTGGGGTTTGGGGTTAACATGAACAGTTGGTCTCTCCATGTTAAGAAGTTTAATGATAGATATCAGATTTTGTTTGTTGAAATATTGTTTTCATTTTTAATTAATATTTGTTTCATATATATAACACCTATATTAAGACTGTCTGGAAAGTATGCAGCCATTTAAAATGAATGAAAAAGTAGCCTACCTAGGGCAGTGGTGCCTTAGTCTTCTTCAAAGTAATCTCCTTGGAACCATACATGGCTATTCCACTATCTCTTCCATTTTTCAAAACAGTCTGTAAAGTCATCCTTTAGGATCCCTATCACTTTCCTTAATCTCGCCCACATCATGAAATCTCCTGTTCAAGTTGCAAGGAGCCTAATTTAGATTATAGATCGACTGATAGATCTGAATTATACAATTTTTTGACAAGACTACAGATTTGACTCAGTAACTATGAAAGCAATGATCACAATACACACAAGCTCATTTAATAGTTTCTCACTGTGGTAGATTTGTCAGGAAGGTGACATCTTAATGTTATCAACCTGTAGAGGCAATCACAGCTTACAGCACCTTTGGAAAGTGCCTGAAAATCATACATGGGTTGACCCAATCCTTATGAGTAAAATTGATTAGAGTGAACTATTTGGGAGGTGTTGATGGTCGAGCTAGCATAAAGTTGCAAGTCATCGTGACTGAGGGTTTGAATGTACTGGCCTTGTTCAGACTGTTGGTTATGCCAGATAAGGTAGTCTCTTCCAGAAACTGTAACTAAGGTCTGCTCAGCATAGTTGAAGTATATGTGTCTGAGCAGGCGTCTACAATAGGGATTGGCTTGCAGATTGGCATACTCAGATATGAGCGGCCAGTCATTACCATTACTACTGACTAAGCAACATTATGGAAGATTGCTAGTTTATACATTTCAGTTGCCACTGATAGGTTTCCGAGTAACATAAAAGCTGCAAAAGTGTTTCTTGGGATAATCAAAATGGTTGGAATCTTTTTGGGTAGACTTTATAATTGTAGGTACATAATAATAAGTCACTACGCTTTCAAGAAAATCCTGAGATTATCAGCTTAAAGGAGAAATATATATAAAGGATTTACTTTAAGGTATGCACCAACATCCATTGATATAAAATATAATACACTGATTAAGTTTGGCTAAATCATTGGATTAAACTAGGATTAAATCATTGGATTAAACTAGGATTAATCTTTTCACTATAAACATCTATCACTGAAAGACTGTTATACAAGAAACTAAATATGTGAACTTTATTGACTTCTGTAATTGCATTGACTAAAAAGTAAAGCTCAGAAAATATCCAGCCACTTCCTACTAGTGAAGAATAAACCACCAAAGTCAATGGCTGTCCTGGGTATGACAATAACCTACATCTGCATCCTGGGTAAGACGATAAACTACATCTGACAGCAATACCTCTGATCAGGACTCTTAATTGCTGGTTTTCCCAGGTCCGTCCTGACCCAGGGTGGTAACACCTGTTAGGATCCCAGCTATGGGCAAATAGTTAATCCCAAACTGGAGTCAAAATACTATGAAAGAGCAAAAATTGGTTTTAATACTAGCAATACATTTTTGTAAAAAATTATTACAGCAATGAATTTTTGAGGAAAAATTATTACCAGCAAAACATTATTACCAGCAATACATTTTCGACAAAAAATATTACAAGCAATAAAATCTTGTGGGCATTAAATAACCCATTGAGGTTGATATGCTGTAAGACAAATCAAACCAAACCAAAGTCAATGGTACCTTCAGTTCTTTCAAAATAATCCCTTTTGGTCCTGATGATAGAAAGTAGAAATTAATTCACTTATGCAGAAAGATATTTTCAAAGATGACGACCGTTAAATCAACATATAGTTTGTCCTAACTGATTAAACATTTACAATTCATCTTGATGATAGAAAGCCACATTTTTATCAAAGTTTCACTTATGTGTAAAGACATTTTTAAATGTGGATCTTGTTAAATTTACAAATCGATCAGAGGAGAAGGCAAAAATTATGGTAAGATGGTTATGGATAAAGAGAAATCCATACACATCGAAATCCTCAAGATAAACTTATTACAATACAACTTATTAGTGTCTATAAAAAAAAGGGCACCAAATGAAACTGACTGCTTAATTAGAATTAAATCCTAAATACGTTCTCATCGTCCACAAATCTAAAACATTTTGACTTGGTCCACATATCCCAAACACATTGTCTTCATTAATAAGTTGAAAACATTTTGACTTGGTCCACATATCCCAAACACATTGTCTTCGTTAACAAGTTGAAAACATTTTGACTGGATCCACAAATCCCAAATATATTTTCTTGGTCAAGAAGTTCAAAACATATTGATTTGGTCCACATATCCCAAACACATTGTCTTCATTAACAAGTTGAAAACATTTTGACTTGGTCCACATATCCCAAATACATTGTTTTGTTCAACAGACTGTTCTGGCTTATAAATTCCAAGCGCATTATCTTGCTCCACAAGTTGAAAATATATTGCCTTTGTCTACAAGTTCAAAACACATTGTCATTGTTCACTACTCCTAAATACATTGTCTTGGTCCACAAATCCAAATCACATTGTCATAAATCACAAGTCCAAAATTCATTGTCTTATTCCAAAACACATTTTCATTCTCTGTAAATCCAAAAGACATGTCTTGGTACAGAATTTTAAAACACATTGCCTTGTTCCATAAGTTCAAAACACATTGTCATGGTTCTCAAATCAATAACACATTGCTTTCTGTCACACCTTGCTGACTTCTTGTGAAAACTTGGGATTCAATAAAATTTTGACAGCTGAAAAGGATTTAGTGCTAGAGTTTAAGGGAAAAGTTTCAAAACTAGAATGATTCTTTTTCTTTTGTTACATTTGGATTTTTTTTCTTCTGTTCTGTTTTTCTCTTTGTTACATGTAATAGAAATGTGTTGATAGTGTAATGGTTATCAGCACCAAAATTGAAATTGGCCAGAATCTGAACTTGGCTGGCCAATTTCAATTTTGATGCTGATAACCATTACACTATCAACACATTTCTATTACATGTAACAAAGAGAAAAACAGAAGAAAAATCCAAATGTAACAAAAGAAAAAGAAAGTCACTGTAACAGAATTGACCAGAATCTGAACTTGGCTGGCCAATTCTTTTGAAGTGACTTTCACACAAATATCATTGGAAAAGGCATGAATCAATCCTCACCCAGCAGTATGTTAAGCTAGCAGCCATACCCAGCTGTTTGATCAGTAAAAGGATTCAATTAGAATGGAGTAAAAACAGCATCATGTTTCGATGTAACAGGGTCTATCTTCTTCATTTACTTTAAAGTACTTTCATTAAAAAACATTTTGAATTAATTCAGTTACAGATATGGCAGAAGTAGTCTGTATTTATTCCATCAAAGTTAGCTGAGGACATGAAGGAGAAAAACAGGAACATGAAGACCCATTTCAGACCACAATTATTTTGGAGTTTTTGAAATTCAATTCATTAGTGAACTACCAGGGATGTAAAAGAGGATACATTTATAAAGTAATTGTTGAGTTTGATGAAAATTGGTTGAAAGATGAATGAAAAATTAGAAAGAAACCATCTACAATCACCATATTTCGCTATTTTTACATGGGTTTTCACTATATGGGCTTAGAAATAAAAATGAGCTATCGTTGAGCTTGTTATGATGTAAGTAACCTATATACCAAGTTTGAACGAAATTGGAGGGAAAAAGTTGAATTTATTGATTTTTGATTGGCTTTATTGATTTGTAAAAAATTATGGATTTTTTATGCTAAGAACCTATCTCTCACATTGTACAATATATGTACCAAGTTTGGCCCAAATCTGTTGGATGGATCTCGAGTGTAAAGGTATCACACAGACAGACACAAAAACATCCTCTGTTTTATATATATAGATATCAGGTGAGACTGAGTTTTTTTATCATTGGGTAAAAACCAGAATTGGCCTAAAGAGGAATGGGCTCTTTTAGGTTATCTTTGCCTAGACATACCATTGCTGTTATAGCTGCAGTACATGTGCTAC